TTAGGTGGAGAGCAAATGTTTTGAGAATGATGAGGGCAATGAATGTACAAATGTGCTTTACACAATTGATGTATGTTTGGATTGTAATGAGTTGTATGAGCCCCTAATAAAATGATTAAAAAAAAGTTATTCTGTGGTTGTGTACTCATATGTACGCACACGCATACATACACACACCCCTCATAAGCACAGGCTATCTATCTCTTGAAGAATCACAAGAAAAATGAAACAGAAGTTGCTTTTGGTGGGGAGAACAGGATAAGGATGGGAGTGATATTTCTTTTTCTACCCTTTATGCCTGGCTGCTAAGATCTACTTTTCCTAAGAATCAAGATTTTTCAGATTCTCAAAACCATAGCATGTTGGCTCCATAACAACTGCCTCCTTTGACATGAGACCAAAAGAACTAGATGGTGCCCAGCTACCATTATTGAACATTTCAATCAAGGATCTTAGCGAGGAATCCTGATTAAGGCAGGGAGGGGAGGTTGTAACAGAATTTCAAATACTATCTGAAACCATGGAAACTAGAAAAACCCTTGAATCTACTGCCCTAAGATAATGTTTATACCTTAAACCAAAAAAAATATACCCTGAAACCTTCTTAAAACAGCAGTTTAGCTTGCCTTGTCAAACAGGTCTCCCTTTAGCATTTTGCTCTTTTAAGAGCTACCTATGTGACATAAAATTGACAACAGAAACTTGAAAGGTTAGAAAGGACCCTGAGGGGGTAGTGAGTTTATTTTGGTGAGAGAACTCAGAAAAGGAAGATGGGAATGGTCATACAATTTGAAAAATGTCATCAATGTCTCTGAATTGTCCATGTAGAAAGGGTTGAATTAGTGTACATTTTGCCGTACATAGTCTCAACAAAATTAATGATTTTTTTAAAATTTTTGAAGGTGTAATAGAATGACTCCTAACTTCTCAGAGTTCTAACCATATTGATTTCCAGTTGAACCATTCAAAGAACCCCAATAGGGTTCCTTTGGCTGGTCCTCTAAACGTAAATGAACTAAAATGATTAGAGACAATACAGCAGAAGGGTTGGTTTTCTTATGTATTCTCTGGGCTTTTACACTATACAATGATATCATCTACCAAAAACTATTATTTTTAGCATCTCTTTTCCTAGTGTCACATCATTAAACATGATGCTGGTTTGTGGTTTATTCCAAGGTGTATCACACCAAGGACATGTCGATCCCAGCCTATCCTACTAAGGTCTTTCATCATTCATAGTAGCTACAATTTCCCAAATGCTTTGAACATCCATTGAGATTATGGGAAATGGGATCCATCCACCCAATGCAATTGTACTCCACCAGTTGGAGGAATGAACACTTGACATAAGCTACAATAGCAATATTACGGACATCGGCGTTTTCAGGCCTGTGAAAAAGCTAGGCGCATTTGCACCTGTTCCCCATTTTTCACATCTTCTCCTTGAGTCTTGGATGTTCTTTTTGTCCCTGCTATTACTTTAAGTCTGTTCACTTATGAGAAATCACCGACTACCTGCACAAATTCCTTGCAAGCAATCCTTGTGTTGCGTGAAAGCTGATATCCTAAAGGGAGTAGTTTAGTTTTCTATAAATAACAGCTTGACCAATTTGGAGGTGTTTGTTGTTTGTTTTCATTCTTATTCTTTATTTGTATGTTTTATTAAATATTTTTATTGGGGGCTCGTACATCTCTTATCTCAATCCATTCATTCATCCATTGTGTCAAGCATATGCTGCCATCATCATTTTCAAAGCACTTTCTATCTGAGCCCTTAACATCAGCTCATCATTTTTCCCCCTCCCTCCCCCACCCGCCCTCCCTCATGAACCCTTGATAAGTTATAGATGATTATTTTCGCATCTTACATCGTCCTCTGTCGCCCTTCACTCACTTTTCTGTTGTTCGTCCCCCTGGGAGAGGGTTATATGTTGATCCTTGTGATCAATTCCCCCTTTCTCCCCCGACCTTCCCCTTATTCTCCTGGTATCTCTAGTCTCATTGTTGGCCCTAAGGGGTTTATCTATCCTAGATTCCCTGTGTTGTGGGCTCTTGTATGTAGCACTGTGTATATTCTTGTCTAATCTGATTTGTAAGGTAGAATTGAGGTCATGATAGTGGGAGGGGGAAGGAAGCATTAAAGAATTAGAGGAAAGTTGTATCTTTCATCGGTGCTATACTACACCCTGACTAGCTCATCTCTTCCTTGTGACCCTTCTGTAAGGGGATGTCCAATTGCCTACAGATGAGCGCTGGGTCTCCACTCCATGCCCCCCCCCCACCCTTCACATTGGGTATGATTTTGTTCTGGGTCTTAGATGCCTGATACCTAATCCCATCGACACCCCACGATCACACAGGCTGGTGTGCTTCTTCCATATGGGCTTTGTTGCTTCTGAGCTAGATGGCTGCTTGTTTACCTTCAAGCTTTTAAGACCCCAGATGCTATATCTTTTGATAGCCAATTACCATCAGCTTTCTTCACTACATTTGCTTATATACCCGTTTTGTCTTCAGCGATCAGGTCAGGAAGGTGAGTATCACAGAATGCCAGATTATTAGCACAAAGTGTTCTTGCGTTGAGGGAGTACTTGAGTTGAGACCCAATATCCATCTGCAACCTTAATTCTTAACATATAGAGATGTAAGTACATAGATCTATTCTCCTCTCATTATATTTAAATACATTTCTATATGTATATGGCTGTATTTAGACCTCTATCAATGTCCTTTGCCTCCTGTTTTTTTCCTCTATTTCCTTTCATTTTCCTCTTGTCCCACCATCATATTCGGCCTTTGTTCAGGTTTAGTAATTCCTCCCTCCTACATTGCCCTTGATTAAGCCCCACTAGGCATAATTTGGAGGTGTTTATGTGCTTCGTTTCATCACATCATCACCATAGTCCTATGAGATCTGATTACCTTCCAGTTGCCCTTCAAGACTCACACTCTACACTCATCTCTACCCTAGGAAGCTGCCTTGAATAGACCACATAACAAAGAGTGCTCCCAAGCCCTCTAGTTTCCAGGTGTTTCCATACAGTGAGGAACATGAGTAAGAGATCAGATCGGGCTGAAGGGGGAAAAGTGAGTTAAATGTATAGAGCTCCTAGATAATATTCTTCCTACAGGGTCACCAGTGGCTGGCTACATGGAAAAGGTCACAATTTCTCTAGGGACAGCTTCTCAATCTGGTAAAGTCAACCATTCTCTCCATTTAACCCTTCAGGCCCAACTGAGCTGTACTTCCCCTTGATTCATGCACACTGCACACACACCTTAGGTCCTTGTGCAATGCAAATGCTTAATATGCTCAACTGCTAATGGAAAGGTTGATGGTTTGAGTCCACCCAGAGGTACCTCAGAGGAAAAGCCTGGCAATCCATTTTCCAAAAACCAGCTATTCAAAACCCACTGGAGCACAATTCAACTCTGACAGGTATAGAATCACCATGGATGAGGTCAGCAAGTTGTTTCCCTGGCGCCCACACCTTCTTAAACGTTCCCTTTATTTAACCCTCCTCTAACAATCCAAATTTAACATGCCAACTACTTCTCGCTGGAACACTGTTCCTTCTGCAACACTCTACTTCTAGTCCAGGGCCCACAATTCATTGCAATGGCCACACAGAACTCACAGGCAATCCTCACAATTAAGATTTATTAGGGGGGTTAACAGGTTATCACAAGCCAGGATTCGTAAACAATAGGGACACAGTCCCACCACTTGTCTGTCAGACTGTCCTACTACGCTCACTAGTGTGTTGCTGTGATGCCGGAAGCTATGTCGCTGGCATTGCAAACACTCGCAGAGTCACCCACAGTGATCAGGTTTCAGCAGAGCTTCCAGACCAAGACCGGACAATGAAGAATAAATAGGCCGTCCGCTTCGGAGGAATTAGCCACTGCACACGTTATGGACAGAATTGAGACATTGTCAGGTACTGAAAAATCTAAGGACTAGAAGGAGAACATTGTCAGATATGATGCCACATGTTGAGCCACCCCAGCTGGAAGGAACGAAAACTATGACTGAGCAGAGCTGCCTTCGCAAAGTACAGTCGATCGTGATAACGTGGATGGAGGAGCATATAGGAAGAAGGCCTTCAGGGTCTTCATTCGCTGCTGGGGCAGGACTCAAAGACAGGGGAACAAACAGCTGCAAACAATCATCAGAACTTGGAATGTAACAAGTATGACTCTAGGAAAATTGGAAGTTGTAAAAAATGAAATGGATCGCATAAAAATCGGCATTTTAGGCATTAGTCAGCTAACATGGACTGGTGTTTGCCATTTTGAATCAGAAAATCTCATGATTTACTAGGCTGGGAATGAAACAATCAAGAGAAATGGCATTCGTCATCAAAAAGGACATTTATAGATGGATCTTGAAGTATAGTACTTTCTTTGATAGGATTATATCTATACCCATTCAAGGAAATAAAATCAATACAACTATTATTCAAATGTACACACCAACCACTGATGAAGAAACTGAAGAATTCTAACTCCATCTTCAGTTGCAAGTTGGTCAAACATCCAAACAAGATACATTGCTAATCACTGGTGATTGAAATGCAAAAGTTGGAGACGAAGAGGAGGAGACAGTAGTTGGAGAATGTGGTCTTGGTGATAGAAACGAAGCAAATGCTTTTTTTCCAACAACACAAATGGCAACTGTAGAAGTGGACTTCTCCAGATGGAATACAAAGAAATCAAATTGACCACATCTGTGGGAAGAGAAGACGGAGAAACTCAATATCAGCAGCTAAAACCAGGCCAGGGGCTGACTGTGGAACAGACCATCAATTTCTCATATGTGAAGTTCAGGTTGAAGCTGAAGAAAATTAAAACAAGTTCACAAGAGCTGAAAAACGACCTTGAGTGTAGCCTGCCTGAATTTCAGAAACATGTCAAGAGCAGATTCGCTGCACTGAACACTAATGACAGAAGACCTGGGGAGAACATCAAGACCATCATTCATGAAGAAAGAAAAAGGTCATTAAAAAGACAGGAAAGTAACCAAAGACCAGAGTGGATGTCATAAGAGAGTCTGAAACTTGCTCTTCATTGCATAGTAGCTAAGGAAGGCACGTTCGAGTCAAAGAGCTGAGCAGAAAATTTCAAAGAGAAGCTTGAAAAGACAAAAGTCAAATATTACAGCAAAATGTGCAAACACCAGGAGTTAGAAAACAAAAAGAATATGCTCAACATGTTCTTAACTTAAACGGAAAGAAGTCAAGAATACATTCAAGCAAGATGGAAATAGTCTATAGGCAAAATATTAAATGATGCAGGAAGCATCAAAAGAAGATGGAAAGAATACACAGTCACCGTACCAAAAAGAACTAGTTGACATTCAACCATTTCAGAAGATAACATATGAGTAAGAACCGATGGTGCTGAAGGAAGAAGTTCAAGTTGCATTGAAAGCATTAGCCAAAAGCAAGGCTCCACGAATTGATGGACTACCAACCTAAATGTTTTAACTAGCTGATGATGCCCTGGAAACACTCACACATTTATGCCAGGAAATTTGAAAACCAGCTACTTGGCCAACTGACTGGAAGAGATCCATATTTGTACCCATTCTAAAGAAAGATGATCCAACAGAATGCTCAAATTATAGAACAATATCATTCATATCACATGCAAGTACAATTTTGCTAAAGATCATCCAACAACAGTTGCAGCAGTATATTGACAGGGAGCTGCCAGAGGTTCACGCCTGAATGAAAGCAGAGAACACCAGAAAGATGTTTGCTTGTGTTTCATTGACTATGCTAAGGCATTCCACTGCATGGATCATAGCAAACTAAGGGTCACCTTGAGAAGAATGAGAATTCCAGGACACTTCATTGTGCTCCTGTGGAACTTGTACATGGATCAAGAGTGAGTTGTGTGTGTGAACAGAACCAGGGAATACGTCATGATTTAAAATCAAGAAAGGTGTGCATCAGTCTTGTAGTCTCTCACCATACATGCTCAACCTGTATGCTGAGCAAATCATCAGAAAAACTGGAATATATGAAGTAGCTTACAGCATCAAAACCGGAAGAAGGCTTATAAACAACCTTCTATGTGCAGAGGACACACGTTTGCTTGCTTGAAAGTGAGGAGAACTTGAAGCACTTGCTGATGAAGACCAAGGATTACAGCCTTCAGTCTGGATTATGATTCAGTGTAAATAAGACCAGAATCCTAAGAACTGGACCAATAGGTCACATCATGATAAATGGAGAAAAGGTTGAAGTTGACAAGGAGCTCGTCTTGCTTGGATCCACAATCAATGCTCATGGAAGCAGCAGTCAACAGATCTAACAACGCATCACATTGGGTAAGTCTGCTGCACACGGCCTCTTCAGAGTATTGAAAAGCAAGGAGGTTACTTTGAGCACTAAGGTGCTCCTGAGCCAAGCCATGGTATTTTCCATGGCCTCATCTGCATGTAAAAGTTGCACACTGAATAAGGGAGACTGTAGAACCATCGATGCATTTGAATTGTTGTATTGGAGAAGAATATTGAAAGTATCACGGACTGCTAAAAGGACAAATAAATCTATTTTGCAAGGAGTACAACCAGAATGATCCTTAGACACAAGGATGACGAAACTGTCTTACATACTTTGCACATGTTGTCAGGAGAGCCCCATCTCGGAAGAAGAACATCAAGTTTGGGGCAGTGAAAAAGAGGAGGGCCCTCAAGGAGATGGATGGACACAGTGGCTGCAACAATGGGCTCAGGCACAGGAACCATTGTGAGGACGGCACAGGACAAGGCAGTGGTTCGTTCTGTTGTGCATAAGGGCACTATGGGTTGGAACTCATTGGCTGGCACCTAACAACAACAACAGTCTTTCTTCCTTGACACATAGAAGTCAGAATTTACAATATACACAACGGAGGATAATTACATCAGATGACATAAAAGGAGGACAGCCACACGATACTTGCTGTCATGGCCTAGCCAAGTTGACCCTAACCCCAGATCATTATAGGTTTCATACACCCTATTCACGTAATCCCACCAAATCTTTGTGTGGGACCACAAAGGCTACTGCTAGAAAAGCCATAGATAACAATTCAATGCCCCACGGCTGTAACTCTGCAATTAAACAATAACAAATGTAGCTTTTTTGTGCAGATACCAAAACAAAAAAACAAAAAGCCATAAACTAAACTGACTGCCAGTGAGTCAATTCCAACTCATAGTAACCCAATAGGGCAGGGGGGAACTGCCCCTGTGAGCTTCTGAGACTGAGACTCTAGACGAGTAGAGATCCTCATTTTTCTCCCACAGAGCAGCTGGTGGTTTTGAACTGCTGATCTTGCGGTTAGCAGCCCAATGTGTAACCACTACATTACCAGAGTTCCTTAATTCAGACAAAATTTGGTTGAAGTTTAACATCTATTTTGTTTTGCCTTTCAACCCATTGTAAATGCATTCTAGTTTTATACTTTTGTGCTTTCTTTTGGATTGAGGGTTTTCTGTGAAAAGTGTGTGTCTGAGGGGGGGTGTATAATTTTCTTTATATGAAGTTCAGGATTGGTAAATCTATAGTGATAGTGACTACATCAATAGTTTCTTAGGGTTATGGCAGGGAGGGGAATGGCGAGAAATGGGGAGCTAATAATTATGAGCACAAAAATGAAGATGTTCAACATTGTGGTGACGATTGCACAACTCTTGACTATATCGAAACCACTGAATTGTATGGTATGTGAATTATATGTCAATAAAACTGTCACAATAAATAAAAGAGAATTTTATTTGAAATAGTATTTTTTGTTCATCACAAAATTTAATAGGTTATGATGAATTAGCCAGACAACAACTTCATCCTTCAAAGAATGGCCCATTTCCTGAATTGTTCATTTTGTAGCTTTCCTTTCAGCAAATTTAGTGAATTGACTTGGATAATCTATGACCCCCCGCCAAAAAAAGCCCCAAACCAACCCTGTTGCTTTCAAATCAATGCTAATTCATAGTAACCCTATCAGGCAAAATATAACAGCCCCCGAGGGTTTCCAAAGCCGTCAACTTTACAGAAGCGGCCTGCCCCAACTCTCTCCTTCAGAGGCTGGTAGGTGTGAACTGTCAACCTTTTGGTTACCAGCAAGCATTTATGACCTTTTATGACCTCCAACATCAAGTAAATGAGACGAAAACTTTTTCCAGAAAAGGATTCTCCCTTAAGACCTTCCCCAGGGACCCCCCGGGTTCCAACCGGAAGGGGAAGCGAGGTTAGGTGAGCAGGTCCCAGGACAAGGCGCAAACTGCATCCTCACACACCTATCTGTGAAGACAAAGTACTCTTGACCTGCCCTCCTGTGGGTCTCTCCTAGTTTTTTTCTCCCCTTCCCTTCTTAAAATGAGGCCAGGTGGAAGCAAACGGAGGAAGAGACCAGGAGGTGGTCAAGTTTGGAATCTGAGTACAGAATGGGGACATCTACTTTCGGTGGAGCCCCAACCCCAACTCGGGGCCCCACCCCAACCCCGAACCCTTACAAATCCAGATACCTGATGGTCAAATGGTGATTTGTAGCTGTAGCAGCCCCAGATGTAATCACCTCGGCAAGCGTCTCGTCAGAAGGATTTCCCCGCCGGAGTTCTCAGAGGAATGTTTATGAGTGCTACCACTGGCAACCACAGCTCCAACCAATGGGAAGCAAAGACCAACGATTCTGGCTACTTGTCTTCCGTCAAGGAGCGGGGAAAGAAGGGAGTTCCGGAAGGACGAGATGGATCGTCGCAGCATCTCTCTGGCCTCAGTGGCAGCACCTGCCTGCAGTGTCCACACTCAGGATCCCCCAGCAGGGCAGGAATAGACTCCACTGAGCCTCACTGTGTACCGATCGTTATGAAATTTTGTTTTTGTGAAGTCACGTATTCCTCATAATAACCCGCAGCGGTGGGTATGAGCAGTGCCATATTACAGTTGAAAAAAAAAGTTAAGGTCAAAAGAAGGTTAATTTCCCCCAAACTCAAATCCAGGGCTGATGACGTCATGGACGGAGTTTTTCATTGGTTCTTCCCAAATTCTGACGTTAGGCCTTCCTGGTGTGCGAGATTCTGAACGCCAGGTGGCGCTGTCGGCTAAACATTGGGCTGCTAATTGCCAAGCGATGGTTCAAATCCACCTGGCCAATTCTCAGGAGATTCAATTCACTGCCATCCGTCGATGCTGATTCACTGAGACTCTATCGGACAGGGGTCTATAGGACCCTATAGAACCGCGCCTGTGGATTTCTGAGACTGTAAATCTTTATGGGAGTATAAAGCCTCCTTTTTCTCCAGAGGAATGACTGGTGGTTTCAAACCGCTGAGCCTCATGATTAACTGCCCAAAGCTCATTGGTGGTGCTGTTTGTTAAGTGTTGGACTGCTAACCACAAGGTCGAGGGTTCAAACCCACCAGCTGCTTCCAGGGAGAAAAAAGTGATTGTCTGCTCCTGTAAAGATTTACAAAGCTTTGTAAACCCTCTATAGCAGCAGTTCTCAACCTGTGGGTCGTGACCCCTTTGGGCAGGCGGGCGGGGGTGGGATGGGGGGAGGGGTTGGGTGACCAATGACCCTTTCACAGGAGTCGCCGGATTCATAACAGTAACAAAATGACAGTGAAGTAGCAAAGAAAATAATTTTGTGGGTGGGGATCACCACACCACGAGGAACTGTATGAAAGGGTTGCGGCATTAAGAAGGTTAAGAACCACTGTTCTAGAGGGTCTCTGTGAGTTGGAATCAACTTGACCAGTGTGGGGATTATTCCTATTATGCGATGGTTGTTATAAATGGTATTCTTTTTACTCCTTGCTTTTATTATTTTTCATGGTGTTCTTTTAACTGGCCTTAACTAATGAAATAAAAAAGCTGTCAATCAATCCTCTGTCTGTCCCCAGTTTTATGAAGTGCATTGTTGTTAGATGCCATTGAGTCAATTCTGACTCACAGCAACCCGTGTACAATGGAACAAAACACCACCCAGTCCTGCTCCGTCCTCCCAATTAGTGTGATGTTTGAGCACATTGTTTCAGCCTCTGTGTCCATTTATCTCATTGAGGGTCTTCCTCTCTTTTACTGCCCCCTCTACTTCACCAAGCTTGATGTCCTTCTCCTGGGACGGGTCTCTCCTGATCACATGTCCAAAGTACACGAGACATAGTCTCACCATCCTTGCCTCTCAGGAGCATTCTGGCTGTGCTTCTTCCGAAACAGGTTGCTGGTTCTGGTGGCAGTCCATGGGACTCTCAGTATTCTTCCCCAGCACCATGATTCAAATGCCTCGATTTTTCTTGTCTTCTGCATTCAAAGTGTCCACCTTTTGCATGCTTATGAGGTAATTGGAAATATCAGGGCTTAAGTGGGGCATACCTTAAGTCTTCAAAAGTCTCTGCTATTCAATACTCTAAAGAGGTCTTGTGCAGCAGATTTACCCAATACAACATGCTGTTTGATCTCTCAACTGCTGTTTCCATGAGCATTGATTGGGAAATCCAAGTAAGACAAAATCCTTGCCAACTTCGATCTCTCCATTTATCATGATGCTCCCTATCGGTCCCCTTATGAGGATTTGGGTTTTCTTTAGGTTGAGGTGTAAGTCATCCGCGAAATTCCCAGTTTGAAATTCTTGCACTGAACTCTAGGCTTTGCACATGGAGTTTTTTTCTCGTTTTAAGACAAATGGTCTCAATCCCAACCAAGAAAGGAAAGTGCTTTGTGAAGTGTTCTCTTCATCCAGGGAGGAACGCTGCTAGGGGTGGCGGTGCCTGCAAAGCACCCCACACTGGGAGGGCCCAGGCAGAGGAGCAGGCTGCTGAGCTGGCTGGAGACCGGGGTGGGGGGCGCAAGGCTGGCAGGCAGAGCAGAACCATGAAGACCAAACTCATTGAGGCACAGGAAGTTCCAACCCCCAGCAACCTACAGAGTGGGCTACAACTGTTCTATAAGATTTCCCAGCCAGCACATCTTACTGAGAGCAGACCAAGGAGCAGGAGCAGCTGGCCGGTTTAGTTCACAGCCTAGCACATAACCACTGCGCCACCAGAAGGCAAAACAAAAGAAAAAACTCACTGCCATCCAGTTGATGTCGACTCATAGTGCCCCTACAGGCCAGGGTAAAATTGCCCCTGTGAGTTTCTCAGACGATAACTGCTTAGGGGAATAGAAAGTCCTATCTTTCTCCCATGGAGGGCTGGTGGATTTGAACCACAGACCTTGTGGCTCACAGCCCGATGTGCAATCACTACACCACCAGGGTCCCTGCCACCAGACCTAAAGAAATCAAACCCACTGCTATTGAAGGCCACCATCTAGGACAGTACAACAGGCCTTGTAGGTTTTCAAGCTGATAGCTCTTTACAGGAGCAGAAAGCCTCATCTTTGTCTCTTGGGGTGGCTGGTGGGTTTGAACCACTGACCTAGCATCCCAGTGCCAAAACCACAGTACCACCAGAGGGGCTGAAATCCCAGTTCCACCACTTCTTGGCCTTGTGACTTTAGGCAACTTGTTTCCTCCCATCCATTAGATTGTTGGCCTGACAGGAAGTTAAGGGAGGGGAGGCACGTAGTGCAGACTGAGCAAGGCCTGCCACTACACATACTCACGACACGAGTGAGGACCACAGTGAGAACTGAGAGAATAACCTCTCTGGACAGAATCAACACATAGGGGAATCAGAATGAGCGCTTCCCCTCCCTGCAGCTGGGAGAATCAGCTGGCTCTCCAGGGGCAGATGTGTGACATCCACTCTCTGGTGAGGCCCACTAGAGAACCCTCCTTGGGGGACCCTCCTTGGTGAGCACGTAGGTGCCAGAGCTACCTGTGAAAGTTACCCACGTGGGTGGCCTCAGCCTGTGCCCTGGCCTGGCACTCATAAAGTCCCTCAGGTCACACTGCTCAACACCAACTAGTGTCACTGCTGGCCCTGACCCACCGCCCTGTCCTCCTCCCGGGGTCCCAGGGAGAGTGTCTGTGGGTGCTGTGTGCCCTGGAGGGGGTGGCAGCATCAAGCGGAGCTGACAGGGTGGGGAAGAGGTAGCCAATGGGAGGCTGGAAAAGCCTATCTCCTAGTTCTCCAGAGGGAGAACTCAACCGGAGGGACGCCCCAAGCCTAAATCCCCACCCACGTGGACCTCTCCTGGCATTTGGGTGTCCTGCCTCCCTGGGCCAGCAGTGCACCTGCCTTCATCACCCGATGAAGGATCCAGCAGGGTCCTCTCTGCCTGAGATGTCTTCCTGATGGCAGCCCTGCCACAGCACTTGGGCACCATCTGCTCCTGGGTACCAGCTTGTGGGATGGGCCCTGCCCTGCGCCCATGCTTCCCGGGGCTGCTACAAGCTGGCAGACACTTGGGAAGAGAGAGGGCCAGCCAGCCGTGAGAAGTGGGGAGATGGCTTTGTGGCGAGAATCTGACACCCACTGGAAGGAAGTGCTTCAGCAGGTGTCCACCTGTTAGCTTCTTCCTGAACGGAGGAACATTGTTTTGGCAGAGGCTCTGAGGCAGGGGCGGCCTACCTCCGAGTCTCGGAGAGATGGATGGAGCTAAGATTGGGTGCCTTCTCTTCTGGTCTTCACCCCCTGGGCTTTGAGTTACATGCTCTCCTTCCCATGGCTTCATTCCCTCTCAGTTTCTCGCCCTGCACCCCCCACCATTACCTCCGGCTCAACTCCTCGTCAATCCCTTATTTATCTTCTTCTTTCCCCTTCATCCTGCCTCCTTCTTCCACTTCAAGTCCATGGTCAACACTACATTGTGTTGCTCCAACAGGAACGGCTGAGAAGTCCAGCATTTTCAAAGTTGAGGGACCTGGCCATCCCTACCACAAATACCAAGTTCTTAGAGGTCAGAGAGGAGAGTCGGTTTCCGGGAGCTGGGCTGTTTTCTGGCTTCTAGGAACCAAGTGCATTCAGTCCAGAAGGAAAATCTATCTGGTGGGTGAAAGAAACACTCCTCAATCAGCCTGGTAGAAGGGAGTGTGCAAAACTGTACTAAAGACCCTCTTGGCCCATGCTAGGTTCTACATGAGCACAACCATGAAGTGTTGTGAATCCTACACAGCTGAATGCCTTTGCATAGTCAATAAAACACAAGTAAACATTTTTCTGGTATTCTCTCCTTTCAGCCAAATCCATCTGACAATCAGCAACGATATCCCTTGTTCCACATCCTCTTCTGTATTTCACCTGACCTTTGGCAGCTCCCTGTTAATGTACTCCTACCTCTGCTGTTGGATTATCTTCAGCAAAATTTTACTTGCATATGATATTACTCCATACTGTTCAATGGCTTTGCATAGTATAGATACTATCTATACTCTCCTGGGTCACTTTTGGAATGAGTATAAATATCGATCTCTTCCGGTCATTTGGCAAGTCTCCCAAAATTCCCGGCCTAGACGAGTGAGTGCTTCCATTGCTTCATCAGCTTGTTGACATATTTCCGTTGGTACTCCATCAGTTCTTGAAGCTATGTTTTCCACGAATGCCTCCAGTGCAACTTGGACTTCTTCCTTCAACACCATCAGTCCTTGATCATATGCTATTTTTTGCAATGGTTGAATGTCAACAGTTTGTAAACCATTTGATTGACATGTAC